TCTTTTGTTTATTTAACCAGTTTTATATATAAAATTTGCTCGACAATTTCGTTTGTATGGGAGAAAATGCACAACACCGTCAGCCAAAAAAATTATTAAAAATCAACGCGAGCTTCTAGCGTTTTGAAATATGCACTTTGACCTAATAAAATTCAATGACAAAACTGCATACCCGAAATTTTTCTAAAAATTTTTTGAATAAAAAGTTTAAAATTCTTAACGTTTGTTGAATTTTCATAATTTTTGTACGTAGTTTGAAATGTGCATTTATTTGGCGCTGGTTAGGTACAGTGCTAGACTTTTATAAAAAAAAAAATATAAACATTAAATAAACAACAGAAAAATAGCAAAAACTTGTCAACATATCATTTGACTTAAGCTGACCACAAGGGCATGTTACCGCATAACTTTGGACCACGTCAACCGTTTTCTATAACTCTTTTTCCATCGGAAAGGTAGTGTATCACAGATGGTCCCATTAGATCCGATCATTGGATCATGAAAAAATGAACGGTAATCATAAATTTCTATATGAGAATTGACGTGGATCGCGTTTTTTGCTTAGAAATTACTTGTTCATTTTGTTTTTGCTGATTCGTTAAGTTATTGTACATCGAAATAGTCCATATAAACACTCCGGGTGTCGGCAATACATAGTAGCTATGTATGTACATATTTTTCTAATCAGTTTGTTAATAATATATAATTGCTTTTTTTTATGAGCAGGGCAAACATCAGCCATTCTCCCCATTCAATAAATTCTATTAATTAGTCATTCAAAGTTTTTAATTATAAACAAATTACTTAATCTATTTTTATGCATGTGTATATATATTTATATATGTATGTACATATGCCTGCTTGTTAGTACAAAAGAACTGAAACTGTGCTTATAAACGTCTATTTAGCATATATGTATGTACATATGTACATACCTTACAGTTTACAGTTTTAAGTGTATTGCTGACAATCAGAAAACGTTCTAGATCATGGGCTAAGGTTTCTGTGATTTGCAGCTTTCATTTACATATACATACATATGTAATAAATAAACGTTCTGAAAGTCGTTTAAATTGTCACGCATTGGTACATAGTAGTTAAAGCGGATTTGCTAGGAATAAAATATTGTACTAGCTTTAAATTTCGTCAGAAATCGCGAAACTTCTTATAAAAATTTTGTATAGAGCAACGAATGACTCCATTAAATAAACTATGTCTGTGGTGTTAAATATAAAAATAATCACTTCACTATCTACAGAGGAGTTGTTCTTATAATTTTTGAAACATTGACAACTTCGGGGTTTCTATACTTGGCTTGCTGTTGTTTGAGAGACGGCGCCGAGCTTATCCGCCAATTTGTAATGGGCGTCTTAGTATTGTTACACAAAGTTTAGGGAACTACAATTTTAAGACGCCTGCGAGGGTAAATTGATTTTGTGAAAAAAGCTTTTTCATGGTCAGAAATACACTGGGAGGTTTGTCCATGCCTGCCGAGGGGCGGCCGCTGTAAGAAAACATTAGGTCTGTTCAGGATCGATCTTGCATTTGCATATTCGTTGCATTTATAAATCCACAACAATAAAATGCACACGGTTGCCATGGCAGCAATCATAAAATTTGCAAATGCAATTCCAACTGTAAATCCAAGACCATTTGCATTAAGCCGATTGGGGTTTAAAAAAATAAATAAATTTCTACAACATCCTGAACAGACCCCTACTGTTTTTAATTTAGATGCTGCCCGGATCAGGGATCGAACGCATACCCTACGGACTACTGAGTGGTAGTATGCATACGGTGACCATAAATATGGATTCAAAATGAAGGACAATTTTTCAAAAATATGCATACATACTTGTATATTTACGTAGTATAAAAATATCAAAAGAGTATTTTTGATTCTAAATTCTTTATACATTTTAAACTTTAAAAATGAATCGCGTTTTCTTCATTGATATTAATCTTTTTTTACATGAATATTTATAAAAGTATAGTAAAACATATTATAATTACAATAGCTTACACGAAAAGTAAAAATCTTTAAAAGATTATTTTATAGGCAAATTTTGAGTCGTCCAAAACGAAAACAATACCCTTTTTTTTTGTTTCTTGTACTTTTCGCAGTTATTTGTGAAAAATCGACGTCATGAATCGACGTAAACGATGAGTTACAAAGGTATTTATGTGCCCTTTTTCATTATCTTTGGCTCAAAATTTACTGTAATGATATATCTTATTTATCGAATTTTTAAACTAATGAAAAAAATAATCAAATAAAACTGCGTATTTGATTGAAAATCTCACTTTTTTCGACTTTGACGACAAAATGCAAATGGTCGCCTGTAGCACTAATAATTTTCATTGAAGTCGCCACAAGTTATATATTTTGGTAAGAGGCACATCAATACCAAGAAACACTTTTTTGAAAAAATCCATCCATTGTACGATAATTTTAAAATAACGGATAAAATGCGGGACAAATGCGGGACACTTGGAAAAAAGCAGTACATTTTCAGGTTTTTCAGGTTTGGAAAACTATGCAGGACCGACCTTTGAAAAACAGTACGGTCCTGCAAAAAACAGAACGGATGGTCACCGTAAGTATGCATCTCTAACCTTAGCCATAGCGGCCGCCTTACGCACTTTTGATTTTAATGAGTGTTTTGGTTTAAATTATTTGCGGTTTGGTTAAATAAATGTACGAATGCTATACATATTTATATTTTCCATAGTTTTTCTTATTTTTTTATAAAAATATAGTTCATTCAACGGCAAAAATCATATGAATACATTTTTTTAATTTCATACAGAGCTCGGGGGGAAATGCAAGAAATGTTGAATTCTTGACGCTGATCGTACATATGTATGTGTATTTGAGATGGCAGATCGAAATAAAAAGAATCGATGCTGGAAGATATCGGCAAATAAAAAAATTAACCTCCCAAACTCGATTCACATATTTGGTCAAATAACATACTTTTTACAAAGAAACAAAACACGGCGATCTGACCAAACCATTATTGTAATTTTTAAAGTATGCATGCATTTTTCATAACAGTTTAATACCCAGATTTAATCAAAAGCTATCAAGTAGCTAACAATTCGTAAATACTTTGAAAAACCAAAAAAACAAAATGACAAAAAATATACATATGTAATGGTAAAAACGCTTCTTTTTCACAAAAAATTTACATTTGCAATTCGGAGTTGCGATAGGTCGTTTATACAATTTTGTTCGCAATGTTGCCATTTCACTAAAAATGCCACTTTGCGATGTTTCATGAATCGCACTAACGGCTATTTTTATGAACGTAATGCCCAACATTGTCATTAAAATTTTCGTCATTTAATGCTTAGTGAACATTTACCATTAACCGTACTAAAGCAAACGCTAAACTATTTTTTATTTGTTTATTTTTATTTTTTGATCACAAATGAGAAAAAAGTATTTTTTACTTCGAAATTAACCACTATTTTAAAAATGGTATAATACAAAGGAGCTTACGTATATATGTAGAGTTTTTTGCAATACGAAGGCTTTTTAGTTTTTTTTTTTTGTTTTCGCAAACTATATTTACCCTTTTAAGAAAAGATTTGCTGATAAACTGCATACGTACTCAAACTTTTTCTAAAGGGATTAATTAAGGAGTGCAAAATTTTTATGATAATTTTCATAAAGTTAGGAATTCCGATTTTGGGAGTTTTTGTTGTAGTAATAATGTAGTAAGAGACTTTCCTGAGGAACCTTTTAGTCGGAGAAGAAAGAGGGGCAGATTGAATTCGTTGGTCTTTGCTCTCTGAAGTTAGAAAGGTGAGAGGTGTCAGGTCCCATTATTTTTATGTACCTGCCTCCAATTAAAATTGCTTTAATATTTTATAGATTTTCTGAGGTAAACCGTAGATCAATATACATCAATTGAGAAAACTTCGAATGTCAATTCCTGAATTTTTTTGAATCGATTCACGGATCGAATCGGAACTAAATCGACAAGAAATCGAATCGGAAGAGCTCGATTAATCGAACTTCGATTTAATCGATTTAAAAATGGCATCTCTAATGTATATGTGTACTTGCAAACTGGCGTTAAGTAACAATTATATGCCAAAATGTTTAAAAATAAATAAAAAAGTCAAAATTGTAAAAGGGTTTTTCTAGATTTGCATAGCAGTTAGATGGCCCCTTATTCGGTGAAGAAATTAAAACTTTTGGTAGTAGCGACTTCAAGGTATTAGTAAACATATGCTCTGGCGTACAGTGTCGCCTAAGTGGGCAAAATTCGAAAAATTCGTTGTATGCAATGTGAACGTGTTTGGTATTTTTATAAAGTTAATTTATCCACTAAAAAGAACTAAACTGAAATTTCCCAATAAAAAAAAATTATATGCCGCCAGGAAGCCACTAAAGTCAACAAATTTTATACTAAGAATTTTAATCAGACCTTGGCCATGCTCCTAAATTATCCCTTTTTAATCCTTTGTCCTATTTGGGTCAAATCTAGTATATACCAAAATTTTCCTTGGAATTTAAGGAATCTGAGAATGCATAATACGTAATTCCTCGGCTCGACGCGTGACCTCTTAGAGTTGTCCTGGAGAGGGAAGATTCATGGAAGGTCATTACTATACCAAATGCCGGTCGCATTGCAGGATTTTTTTTTTTAATGTGGTCTAATGTACATACATATATAGTAGTGAGTTAAGCACAGGGTCTTTCTACGTTATTCCAGAAAAACAATTTCTTTTAATAGAAATTTCAAAAAATGCTAATTTTTAATTTAATGAATAAAAATACACGTAAATATATTTAATTTTTTATTATTTTATTATAGTACGGGGTTTTAACGTGCGAAAGAGAAAATAAAAACCTGCTAATTTTTTGCACTTTTCGAAGTAGTGCGTTTTTTGCTAATGCATAAAATTATTTTTTCATTTGTTGTCATTCCTAAATTTCACCTCGAATATTTTTTTTAACTAAGACGCTTTTTTCATCAACTTCGCAGAACTGGCCACTTTTTCCCACACAATTGCGCACATGCCCCCAATGGGCTGCCCTGGATCCGCAAATATGCCCACAAAACTCCGATCTAATTGCGTACATTAGTGGCAGCGATATTTGGGTGACGCATACAGTAAGTGGACATGAAGAGCGTTTGACATTCGCACACGATGGCCGCCGCTCAATTGCCGATGATCCGCTCAGTGCTGGTGTGCCATCATACATAATGCTGGAGGAGTTCAGTCGCTTTCAGGGATACTGGTGGCAGCCGAAATCCGATGGTAAAAAATTTGAAAAGAAAAGAGTTTCCGCAAGAACAAATTAATTAGTTTGTATATGCTTATGACTGTTCTTAGATGGTGTTTATCGTATTGTTTATGAGGAAGTGGATGAGTCCGATGTTTGCATGTATACATTCCCATCCTCACAGGCAATGCCGGGAGAAATGGAAGAATATCGTTTTCCACGCGCCGGTACAGCAAACGCCAAGTCAAAGTTGAAACTGGTGCAATTCGTTCTAAACGAGTCGCTGCAAATAAGCGATGTTTGCATAAAAGATTTGCCGTATACACTTTCGTTGGTGTTTCCATGGCTGGAATATATCGTACGCGTTGGATGGACGCCCGATTCTAACTAGTGAGTGACTTTTAATAGCCCTACTTGTTTATTTTTGTACACCCATAAATCTTCTGAACACTACGTTTTCAGTGTTTGGATGCAGGGCATGAACCGCAAGCAACAACGCTTAGATTTGGTGCTTATACCGTTAGATAATTTCTGCGAAACCTATACCAGCTCGGCATCTTCGCCCTCCGGTTCAGCCGACCACAGCTGGAAGAGTCCATACTGCCGAGCTGTATCACCGCTACAGGTATTTTATAAATTAATTCTATTATTTTGAGGTAATTTTAAGTTAACTACAACTTTACAGGTGATTTACTCACAAACATCAGACTCTTGGATCAACGTGCATGATTTACTATATTTTTTGGAAATAACCGATACAACAGTGACCTTCTTGTGGGCATCTGAAGAGACTGGCTTCAGACATCTATATCTGGTCACTTCCAGTCTGGGCACAGAAACACTGAATGGCTTCAAGGATACCGCGAACAATTTCGAAATGAGTAGTCGCACAAACTCAACATCTTCGGCTGCCTCTGCGAACATGGATATGCATACGGATTTTATCGATAGTGTCACCCTGCATCCTAGAATAATAAATAAAGTATATCACCAAATATATGTTGCAAAGATAATTGAAAATATTATTTTAAACACATGTATGTATGTATGTATGTATAAACTTCTTAGGTTGCACTCACCTCTGGCGAATGGGAGGTTCTGCATCGAAACATTTGGGTGGACAAAGCGCAACAGCTAGTATATTTCATAGGTTTGCGAGATACGCCACTGGAAAAACACTTGTACGTGGTGAGTTTGCAGAGGCCTGAACACATACGCTTGCTCACTGAACCCGGCTACTCATATCAGGTGGAGTTTAATGAGGTAAGAATAGGGTTTCGGCGGTGGAACGGTAGCAAGAATATTTATTAATTCTAGGTTTTTCTTGCAGTCCTGTCAATTAATGTTGCAAGTTTATTGTAACATACAACGTCTGCCTTCATGCAAAGTGATGCGTGTCACACAAACTTGCCAGAACGGTGGTGTCAACGGCATACAATTGTCAATGATGGGCTACCTACACGAAGGTGGCAAGCCAGAACCACAATATTGCCCGCAAGTATTCCGGCCACAATTACCGTCGGGTGAAATCGTATACGCTATGGTGTTCAAACCCCATAATTTCCATCTTGGAATAAAATACCCAACAGTGCTAAATGTGTACGGTGGTCCTGAGGTGCAGACAGTCAATAACACATTTAAAGTTGGTCAACCAGCTGATATTAGGCATTGTATAGTTTAGTAATTAATATACATATTTGCAGGGTAAGCATCAGTTACGTATGCACATGCTGGCTGCACAAGGCTATTGTGTGATATGCATCGATTCGCGCGGTTCACGGCATCGCGGATTGAAATTCGAAACTCACATACGCTGTCGCATGGGTCAAGTGGAGCTGCACGACCAAGTTGCAGCGCTGCGTATATTGGCAGATCAGCTAGGTTACATCGATATGAGTCGTGTGGCTATACACGGTTGGTCTTATGGTAGGTACTGGACATAAAATAATTACCGTTGTTTTACTATCACTAATGTTTTCAGGCGGTTATCTCAGTTTAATGGGACTAGTGCAGTATCCGGACGTTTTTAAAATTGCCATTGCCGGGGCGCCAGTTACCAATTGGGAGTATTATGACACGGGCTATACGGAACGCTATATGGATTTACCACATAATAACAAACGCGGATATACGGCGGGCTCTGTGCTTAATTATATACATGCATTTCCCGAAGAGTAAGTTTCGAAAAGCGAACTTTATTTCAACGTATTGCTCAGTGAGATAAAAGGCAATGAGTCTATCAAGTTTGAGATTGAGATGCTGAAATACACATTTTTAAAAAGAAGTGGGTGCTGCCACATCTCTTCTTTAAAATTGTTTAAGAATCAAATTTTTGGGGAGTTGTCTGCAACCAGCTACGCAAAAAGTCACATGTGTCCTACCCACACGCTTATGGAATTTAGCGTTGGAATATCTTGTTGTAACAATTACAAAGTACAGGCTGCCAAGTTATTGCCTACGCTGACGATCTGGTGCTGACGGTAGTAAGAAAGCAACCCCACGTTTTATGCGATTTATCATAAAACTCTGAGTAGTTGTTCCACACAAAGATCGCCTAATTTAGACCTTAAGGGGATAAGTGGTGAATGTTTGCTCACTCAACATCAATTTTCGGTTACCGGATTTCTAAAGCTATGAATATGACCAATTCACATCAGTGATAGTCATGGGCATAGGCTTAATTCCTACACGTCCCTATGTAAAGCAGTGATGCTCTATCACAACTGTCATGATTACACACATGCATGCTGTTTTGATAAAAGTAAAATCAATAGTTGCGTTCGATAACAAAATTAGCCAACACCAGCCAACAATCAAAATCAAGAGCGCAAGCGAAATTCTCTCCCAAAGAGAAGAAAAAGCAAAAAAAGTAAACGAACAGGAAGTTAGCCATCACTTGCAAAAACCGGAAGAAGAAGACACACCAGCTGATTTTGTTTATATTTTATTTGTAAACAAACTGAAATTCATTTTGCCTCCATGTAAGAAAAAATGGAAAGTGAACGTTCAATGTTCGCCAGGACCATTTCTAGAAGTAAAAACTAGTTGGCACTATCATAAAGTCACATAGCAGGCAGCCAAAAAGCATATAAATACCAAAACTCGAAAAATACAATTTCGTTTGTTTACAAAAATTGCAACCATATGTTTTCGTGATGGATAATTTTTGCTGACTAAAATTATGCCAGTACAAAATGAACGCTTGCTCTCTCAATTTTTGTGTGTTGGATAATTTTTTGTCGTTATCGAACGCCATCCAGTAAAAATTTTGAAAAACTTGACTTGTCGAACGCAACTATTATTTGGCGTTTACACTTTTGCTAAGTGTTTTTGTCGTTGAAACTTAAAGTGCAAGAAAACGTTGGCTGTGTTCAGATATGCATCAGTAAAACATCAGTCTCTTTTATTTATTTATTTATTATAGTTGATGGAAATGCCTTATTTGCGCAACAAAGTTCCACTTCGGCATTTAACCGTGGTTGCGCACATTAAAAATTTCCGTCAATTATAGCCTAGAAATAAAGTAGTCTGATGCTTTGGTCTGATGCATTTCTAAACATAAGGGTTACAAAATTTATTAAATTGGGTAACCGGTTGTGGCTAATTAAATTTGAATTTATTAACATATCCCTAGCTTAGAGTGTAAAGTTGCAGAGTCCATGTTTTTTTTTGTAATTTTACAAGAGAGGAAAAAACTTATAACCATTTCTCTCAAGTATTTCGCAAATGTTTGAATACAAAATTTTTTGCGTTTTAAGCAAAGCAAAACTCCATACGAATAAGAAAAATTCGATCTTTATTAAAATATTTCGTATTATTTAGGTTTTCTCGGATTTTCGGCGCCTTTTTTGGACTCAGTAAATTCATATATGTATATACATGCACTTTTTGGTGAAAATCGTGTATTTTTATTTTGTAACACTGTTTGAGAAGAGCTTTGTTGTTTGAGAGATTTTTTGTTTGGATTTGAAAGTATTTTTTACCGCCCTATCTCCCGACGACTGACCACTCATTGGCTCCTTATGCTTTGAAAGCCAAAAATGTGCCCATCGCTGGTATAGAATACAGATGTACACGAAAACGGGTACAAAAATGATAACATTTTTTTTTTAACCAAAATTAGGTTCTTAAATTTACGCCCACTTAAATAATTTAACACATTTCTTTGTCTTTTCCCACAGAGAAAACCGTCTCTTGCTCATACACGGCCTCATCGATGAGAACGTTCACTTCTATCACACCTCTCAACTGATATCAGCTTTGAATCGCGCAAACAAACCTTATAACCTACATGTATTCCCCGAGGAGAGGCATTCACTGCGGAATTTGGAATCGAATAAAAATTATGAGACAAAATTATTGGCTTTCCTGCAAAATTTATGAAATTGGCAACAGCATAGCATGTCAATAACATACACAATGACAATGACAACGATGACGATAGCAATGTTAATGATTATGGTGTCTTGAAGACAATGCCTATAGCTTATTACACACACGACGACGGCGGCGGACAATATTTCCAATGTTAACAGCTAAAAGCTTTGCAGTAGTAGGCAGCAGCAGAGTTTCAGCAGTAAATAGGGGCACCAACAGCTGCTGAACTTTTTGGGCGAACAATGTACTTTTATTTTATTTCATACAACGGCAGGCAAACCATTTAGCTCTTAAATAATTACATATTATTAACATTTTATAATTTGATCTGTACAATTAGAAATTATAGGTTAGTTAACATTAGCGACACGAATAAGCAAGGTTAAGATTTGATCATCTGATGTTACTTTTTGGTGAACATAGGGAAAAGGCCATTTTGAATGTACTACAAGGCAAAATACAACTAAATAAATTTCCAGAAAGTATATATTTAACTCAAATTGTAAAAAATTGCAATGGATCAAGTGAAAACGTTAACTCCAATTAGCGGTACTCAATTGTACTCACTCGTCTCAATTTAATTGCAAGGAACTGAAGAAAAATTCGTCAGAAATTCAAATAATTTTATTTGTACGAGTATCTAATGCTGCCATTGCTTAGTGCTGCAAAAAGTATATTTGTAAACATTTAATTTAATTTATTGTATGTACGTCTACTAAAATGACCATAACGAATGTCAGCTATGTAGCTGTGCACTTTATTTCAGAGATCGCAAATAACAGTTAACCAGAAAAATGTCTTTCCCTCACTTGTTTGATGGTACTGTGCGATATGCATTCGTCTGTTATTTTACAATCGGTCGCGGATACATTTTTAGGGCAAAATTATATTTTTCGTCGGATGTGCATTGAAAAGTTAATTGCTTTTGGGAAGTAGTTATTTGCTAAGAAAAACAATTTGGTTGTGCAAAACGGTCGCCTGCTTAGTTTCGGTTATATGTACATATTCGTGATTATGTTGGCGTGTATAGTATTAAAGAAAATAGAAGTAAAAAACGCGTAGTTAGATTTAATGATTTGTTACAATGTGTATTCTTTCTATTTAGTGGCTGTAAATAAAGGACATTTTTAGATTTAGAGAAAAAAGTGAAAATTTTGCACAAATTTTTTCGAAGACGCCGCGAATATTGTACATAGATAATGATATCATATAACTTTATTTATCTTGAGCAAAAAATACCAATTATGCTTGCTTTTATTCCTTAGGCATTGATAATAAAACGAAATACTCCGGTTTATTCGGGGTTTTTGAGACTTTTCGATGTTTTCTAGGTTTTTCGGGACAGTTTATTGTTTATTTAAGGTATTTTTTTTAGACTTTCTGGAGTTTTTTCCGAACATTTCATATGTTTTTCGGGTTTCTTCATACAAATTTCAAGACTGTTAGGGATTTTTTGGGGCTATTTTGGGACTCCTCCCATTTTATTTTTTTAAGATTTTTCGAAATGCTTCGTATTTATTTTTCCGAAACTCTCGGCGTTTTTCGGGACCTTTCCGGATTTACTCGTGTTTTATTTTACGGAACCCTATTATTTCTTTGCTTTTTATGAACGCCTAAAAAATAAAAGCAAACATTTCCGGTTGTTTTGTTTTATAAAAATGAAGATTTTTTTCGTATTCCTTTTTTTTTTTTATAATTAAAAACTAATCGGTTCTTGGCTTAAAGTCAAAGTGGAGAACCACTGGGCTTTAAATGAAAAAACTTAAAATGCAAAGTTGGGCACTAAAAATTTTCGTTTTAAAAAAATGTACGCGGGAAGGTATGCTGGGCATAAATACTGTGCATAGCACAACCCTAGTTCACAATTTCTCTGTCAAAATGCTAGTTTATTTCCACATAACGTTTTCTTATGACACAAATTTTTCGACATAAAGTTGACTAAGTTTTTTCTTTTTATTATAAAATGCATAATAACTATGGTCTGTGGTCATGTCAAGAATCACACAAATGCAATAGTATTCTGTGCACTTTTATCGTTCCTAAAACAAGTAATAAAGTCTACAAATTTCAAAACTCTATTTTTTATATAGCAAAGGTTATGAGTCTAGTCGATTTATAGAGAACTCTATACTCATACCTGCCAACACACTATTCAAAATGTACGCCTACTTTCAAGTTAAAGAATTTGAGTCCTTTTTTAAAACATAAAAATGACAAAGGTTCGATTATGGACAGCAATGCAACCTCAATTGGGTTGCCGATGGGCAACGCCTATGAAATGAAAAAGTATGTATGTATATTTTGAATAGCAACCAAGACTTGAGCTGCAGACACACAACTGAAGTTCGGTTGCCATGCGTAATCGACCCATAAAAGTGTCAACTGTTATTGGCGATCTCTGATTTATTTAAAAATAAATGGCTTGTATGCCGACCATATAGCACAAGGCAAAATAACTTTGATAAATCTATTTTGTATGTTTTATGTTAATGTACATATGTATAACGTATTACTTTTGACCCATTCAATGTTCAGATTTATATCATATGTGCACGTTTCTCTTCTAAGATCTTTTTCTAAGAAACGGTGTTCAAATCCATTTATTAGTATTTTGTATGTATGTACATATGCATGTGGCATGTGCCACACCAAACCAATTATACATATTGTAGGCGTATTCAAAATGATTTTGTTCAACGGAAACTCCGCCGTTTGAAAAATGAAGTGGTAAAACCAGAATTTAAAATATTTAATTTTCGAATGCAACTTTTTGTAACCGAGACTTATTTAACTTGAATGTTAAAATGCAAATTTTCCTCCATCAAAGCGTTTTATAAAGCTTCATCTGGAATAGAAATATGAATAGCTTAACTAAAAAATTAAACTAGTTCGAATTTGTTTTAAATAGTTCTTATGAACGGAAATAGTCGCGGTAAAATTATTTGGATTTTCTACTCTAAAATTTGACCATTTACATATAGTTTAGTCTTGCACCAGTAGGTCATACCTTTTTCCTACTGTAACTGACAACACAAATTTAATATAATTATACAACAAAAATAAAAATATATTACGTATTCGACGAAAAACGAAAATTAAGATTTCACCCATTGCTTATGTAAAACGTTGCAATATTAAATTATAAATTAAATTTCTATTTACTATTTATACGGATGACTAAATTCATTATTATTCACTTTTACATACATTACGAACATTTCGAACATAGTCGCTCGTTTTATATATATATAAACGCAAGTATAAATTATATTTATTTAAAGAGACGAAACGTTAATTAAAGAAAATGTAAAGAAAAATGTAATAAACAGATATAAAAAATTAATGATTCGTGATTACTATAGAATTATATTACATATACATATAGATAAACTTAACTCATTATGTTGAATTCTAAGTTTACAAACACGTACATAAATATAACATTACGAAATAAAAAAAAAACTATAGTAAATACAAAATTAAAAATATGCAAATTATTATAATTGTACCGCAGGGAGGCAAAACCAGTTTTTGCTACAAAAAGCTCTTTGCAAGTAGGGAATTGAACTGCAACCTACCTGGAGAAATTCGCAGCATTGATTTAAACAACAATCTAAGCAGCTCACTTCTGCTCACTAAATTGATGGTTGCCTTCCCACATTCACTCTTCGTTAAGAAAGCAAACCCAAGAATGATAGAATACAAGATTGCGCCAATGAGAGAGGATTTTTGAGCGTAATTTTTGCGTGACGTCATCTTGGTGCAATTGCGAGAGAGAAATGCCAAAACGCATATAAAAATATGTAAACAATGCAGAAAAATGTGTTAATTTTAATATTACATGGCCCAATTTAGCATGAATCAAAAAATATACAAAGATTGATTAATTAGGAACACGTAGCAACAATTTTGGACATGTAGCCCTTTAGATAAGTACGATTTTTAGCACATGAAAAAATGGATGTATGAACAGTGTTTGCAATTTCATGTAGACCAAAAGGAAGGTGTGCAGCAAAGTNCACAGGTTTTAGTCCGAAGTATAAAGGAACAGACTAATGGTTTGGAAGTTAAAAATTACAAAATGCGACTAATTAAACTTGTCAGAAATAAGTAGTTATTTATTTAATCAATAAACTGTGCCAGTACAACACTTTGTGATGACTTTTCGTACGTTTAAAATTTTACACTTTTGAATTTAAACAAAAATTATATCAGCTGTTCTTCTAACTTGCAAGTTTCTGCAAATTTTCTGTTCGCGTACTATTTGGGATATTTTTCTCTTGTGAGAGCACAGATGACATTTCGCCGGAATTTGGCAGTTGGTTGGTTTTTACTAGAGATTTTAAACGAACGCACCTAATATTACGAGCTAAAAGTTGACAAAAAATTCTCGTGATTAATAGCCCAATTCTGTATCGGTGCCAAACATTTTTTTACTGACAAATTTAAACTTTTTCATAAATTTTTCCGCAATAAAAACTGTGACAAGAATTTTCAAGTGATACAGAATAGAGCCGTAAATTTTGAATCGAGTTTCATTGGATCGATTCGTCTCGTCACACTGAAATTATTTATTTTGTAATAAATTTATGAAACACTTTCAACAGATAATAACAGTGCGAAACATGGAATGCGTATAAAAAATGTACGACCCTCTTTTATTTTCAAAAACGAAAGTATGTATTTAATTGTGGTTTTGTATTTATACGTTTCCTTTACTTTATTAATTTTATTTAGTTATAATTTAGTTACAATTATGATTTAATAGTTTACATTTGCATTAAATTACGTTACGTTACTTTAAGTTACTTCTGAAGTCATTACATTTCAAGCTAATTTATTATACATATATACAAACAAATGTATTTGCTTACGCTTTAGTAGCTAATCTAAGTTCAACTCGATTTTTTTTTTTAGTTTTTTCATAGTTTTCTTTTATTACTAGGTATTAAATATGCAAATATAAAAAAATACTAAGTCTAATTTACTATGCTTAATAAAAATTACACTAAATTTTGGATGTTTATTTTTTGCGCAAATAGCTTAATTTGCAAGTATACAACGTACAGAGTGTAAACAAATTTTTGCTTTCCATTTTCACTTAGATTATATGCACTACATATACTTGTCTAGCTTTTACATAAATTGCGGGTTTGGCAATTCAAAATATTCTTCGACATTAGACATTGCTAGAAAATACTTACCTAAAAATGTTTAACAAAAAAGTAATTATGTACCTCGGCTAAACTTTTAAATTAACAAATTTTAATGAATATCTTAATATTTTTGTAAAAATTTAAAAAGTATTAATGTAAGCATTTTTTTTTTTTGCAATATAAATTGAAATTTTACAATCTGCGGTGTTCCTTTGCCTGATTTCGATACTTTTTAAGGCTTATTGTTTGGTTTGTGTTGGATTTACATTAATGTTGGCATTTCTATTTTCGTTCACACTTTGCTTTTACTATATTTTATGAAGTCATCCTTTCATTCTAGCCACAATAAAAACAAAGGAACTATATGTTTCAGTCTTTAAGTGTTTATTTCTCTTAAAATAACGGTTGTTTTATTGTTTTTGTTTTTGTTGTTTTTGCTTAGCTTATCGCCATTTTCATTTCTATTTATGTACAAATTATAATGCAAAGTATTCGGTTATCTGAACTGTGATTCAGTTAATTTCGAAGTTTTGTTTAATTATTCGAAGTTTATTCGAAAAAAAACACAAACTAATCTTATTAAGAGATGGCTCCCATTCCTTGAAAACACTTGAACTTAACAAAGAAAACTCGTTCCATATTCCTTCAATGAACTAGCTTTTCTCTCTGACATGAGGATTTTTTTAAAGCACTTCGAAATTTAAACAAATATGATTAATGAAAAAAAATTGCAGAATTAACAGAATTAATGTTTTGGTGCATAAGAACGAATGGGTATGGAAAATGTCTTTTACAAATTTTGTCCTTAAATATCCTTGAAAATTTGCAATATTTTATTATTATTATTTTTTTAATTATTGTCTGACGACTAATATACGCAAGACCTCAGCATCGAATTTCGTGCCTCTAATTTTATTTACTTAAAAAGATACAATTTATTAAAAGCGCATTTTCAATATCTATTCGTCCTTGTAAACCAAACAACTTTATTGTTATTAAATTCTACAGAATTTCGCTCTCATTTGGTAGTCATATTGTTATTCTACATTGCACTGATCAAGGCGAATTTATATAAGGTGGTGTTACTAGCTCAGCTGATTTTGTGTATGTGTTTCGCCGTACGGCTTCTGATATCAAATTGAAAATTTTTGTTTGAATTTCTACACACACTCTTACAGATTTTGACAGTTTATGCCGCCAAAGCAAAAACAAAATACATGTAAATTTTTGTTTTTGTACTCCTGCTATCACCTTATATTAATTCGCCTTGGCACTGATTTTTTTAAAATAATTTCTTGAATTAATCATATCTTTAAAACGTCAAGGCCTTTGGAAAAACTCCTGAGGTCAGTGTGAAAAATTAAAAACGCAGTTTTACTATGGGTGCATTCAGAAATGCATCAAGCCAAAGCATCAGTCTGTGTTATTTCTAAACTAAAACTGATGGAAATGTCAAATATGCGCAACCACGTTTAAAAGCTGAATTTGAACTTATTTGCGTAAATAAGACATTCCCATCAATAATAGTTTCGAATAAAAGATACTGACGCTTTGGCTTGATGCATTTCCGAACGCACCCTATATTTGGCCCATAGTTTCGTGAGTATATCGATTCTTTCGTTTGTTTTGAAATTTTTTTTGTTTTTGTCGCACGATGATATTAAACCTTACAAATGGCAGAAGAAGCTCGGCCAAACACTTAGCAAAAATGTCAAATATCTTTTATTTTATTTTAATAAAATTGAGAGAATGCACGGACATCTCCCTTGGGCGGACATTTTTTTCCTATACCAAGATTTAAGTATAAATTTCGGAACAAATTACTCTCTCTTAAGCGGACACTCTCTTGGCCGGACGCGGACAGTTATTTTGAATAAAATTGACACAAAACACTCTATTGAGCGGACGCAAAGCTCTTATCAACGGACATTAAGATTTCTTTTCATAACAAATCAAACAAAAACCCCCGTTGAGCGGACGCGAACTCCTCATAGGCGGACTACTAAATGCAAAAAGGGGACTTCCCGCATAAAATGTGATTGTTATGCACACATTTAGTTTGGTTTTCGCAGTGGTTTAGGTTCGTTATTTGAATTGTCAGAAACCCTTGGAGAATCCAATTCCAATTCTGATGAATTTATAACAATAGATAATAATAAATACATGGACCGAAAATTTAGATTTCTGGTTGGATTTTGTTGCTGATAAAAACATGAAAACTATTGATGAAAAACGTACTGACACGGAAAAAAATTAAAAATAAAACATACGTCAATCGACAATTCCCCAGTTTTTTATGTAATGAATCTGTGGTTTTATGTAGTTTATGGACTGAAATGTAATATTTATTTTTATTTTGTTATTACTTAATATGTCTAAAATAAGCTTCCCTTCCATTGAGCGGACACCTCTCTTGGGCGGACAAATAATGACTGACGGTGAGTGACCGCCCAAGGAAGGTTTCACTGTATTTAAAAAAAAGCAATCGGTACTCGACAAGGCCGGATTGGTACTTCTATGCAGTCGCTATAGTAAAAGTGGAAAGAATGTTTTCCCAAATCAATCAAAAAATAAACCAGAAATTCCAGCACTTTCTGGTATTTCAAGAACTGAACATTTCTTTTAAAAAATACATGCTTCAGGAGGCACTAAATTTGTTGTGTCGAATTAAATTCTCAAAAATATTAACAAAGCAATTTACGAAAAATAATTTACCGAATTTGATTAAACAGAGTTTTCCTTCCTTCTTTTTTGAAGGTTACAGGTTTTTGGTTGAAAATACAGTTTTTCCGGAAATTGACAGTAAAAAAAAACCTCTGGCAACATTGACTACTTACTACACTACAACCAACTATACCTTCAAATAAAGCATTTAATTAAAGAAACTATTAGTTTTTTGTTCTTTACTTTTTTCCAAAATCTAGAAATATCAATTTCTTGAACTCAAAACCGCACGCTGCGGTGTAGAGGTTAGCAGTGCGCGGCTCCACTCCGCAGGTCCTGGGTTCAAGCCCTGGGCAAAGTACCATCGCGGTTTTTTTTCGATCAGGATTGATTTCGATCAGGATAGGTCTTTAGGAGACAATGTTTTGTCAAAATATGTCGCCAAATTTTGGAGTCAAAATATGACATAGTGAAAACCAGTCTTCACAACTTTGCAGATAGTTGAGTTGTAAGTTGTAAATTGGTATAGTTGCGTTCCAGATGGTTCACGATTCAAACTTCATAATTCAAAATTCATAAAAACATAAAATCTCTTACTACTGTTAAGTTTCCTGTTGATAGAAAGAGAGAGAAGCAACGTATACGTCACGACCATGCGTCGGTGGG